GTGTGTGTGTGTGTGTGTGTGCGAGACAGGATGACAGTGGGCACCCAGCTGAGTCTGTGTAAGAGCGGCTGTGAGGCCATCGTGGACACGGGGACGTCTCTGATCACCGGCCCCTCTGCGGAGGTCAAGGCCCTGCAGAAGGCCATTGGAGCCCTTCCACTCATCCAGGGAGAGGTGAGAGAAACTGTCCAACCTGCTGATAAAACAGGCCATTCTGATGACATATTGTATAACATTGTAGGCCAAACTATTAATCTAGAAAATAATCGATAGTTGCCCAGTGAAGATATTATCAATGAGAAATTGGTATTTTTCAACCTGGACCTTACTTTCTGTACATGCAGCTTGTCGTGGAAAATTGTGGCATTACTGTCGAAGGATTGAGCAAATAATTGCGTTACAACAAACCGTTTTCTTCTGAAGAATTTCTTAATAAAAGAGAATAAACAGACGTACTATAACACAAATCAGCTGGGCCAGAGGTTCTGTCTCTGAGGACAGTCACTAACGTCTGGCTCAGAGCAAAGGGATGCATAATCATTTACACAGTCTAGGTTTCTATGTTTTGGGGAACAGAGATCCTTGACTGGTCCCAGTCAAAGCAAGGAGAAGAACAGCTGGCTAACTTCACATCCCTGACCTAAAACCCTACAGACTAGAATGAGTATACTAATAAAAGGAACGGGTTAAATATTAACCTGTCTTTTTAAAGCAAGAAAATACTCTTGGTTAGTTAAGTCCCTTTTCCACCTGATGGTACCAGCTCGAGTACCCAGAGATGGTACTCCTCAATGTAGCCGGCTCGCTGACGTCCATGTGTTTGCCGAAGAGACAAATCATTTATAATTTGTTTTTACACTTTAATTGCTTTATTCAGCTCCAAAACTGAGCTTATGTTAGCTGCTGCTAACATGAAGGACAAGCTGCACACCAGCTCATAGCTAGGTTGTTTGGCGGGAAGGATTTGTTGTTGATTCTCTCTGACCAATTGGTTGTCTGCATTGTTTTCTTGTCACGTTTTGGTATCGCCTCAGCTTGCTAAAACCTCGACGGAGGTGATACCAAAACAATACTAGGTACCGGGTCCCAGATTTGCTCAATGGAAAACCATCTGGTGGAAAAGGGGCTATAGACACACAAACATGGGTCCTTTTTTTTTTAAGTGTGTTGAAATAAATGCATATTCAAATAAGTTTATTGTATTATATCTGTCTAGAGTTCAAATTTCATGAATTGGCAGGTTTTATTGTACAATTAGTGTATATTATCATTGTGAAAAAATGAAACACCGGCTACAAAATGCTGTTTTTTATAGCTTCATGTCAGTTTATAGTTTAAATAATCAATCAAACAAAAGAAGTGTGAATTGAGGAGTAAATTGTGGTTGTGTTTCAGTACATGGTGAGCTGTGACAAGGTCCCAACGCTGCCGGTCATCACCTTCAGCGTGGGCGGGCGGTCGTACACTCTGACCGGAGAGCAGTACATCCTCAAGGTGAGACTGTGTGCGTGTTATCCAGCAGGGGGCGTCAGACCAGGGACCTCCTGCAGTAACAATGCAACACTGTGACGACCTAAAACTAAACAAGTGCAGCTTTGTTTCACTTGGCAGGAGGAGGTCTGAGGAATGATTACTCAGAGACGCGTGTAGTTGTCTGTTTCTCATTCCTTCTAACATTTCAGCAGCCCTGTCTCTGACTCTGTGTCCGTCTCCTCCTTCCAATTTTTCAGGTAAGTCAGGCCGGAAAGACCATGTGTCTGAGCGGCTTCATGGGTCTGGACATCCCCGCCCCCGCCGGGCCCCTGTGGATTCTGGGAGATGTATTCATTGGCCAGTACTACACCGTCTTTGATCGAGAGAACAACAGGGTGGGTTTTGCCAAGGCCAAATAAGCACATCCTGCGTTGGAGCAACACGTTAAAGTACAAAGCTAAAAGTTTTGAAAGACAAAAATCTGTGCTGCACATATTTTCTGTTGCTTTGCAATCAAACAATATTTAGCAATAGATTTTGTGTAGAGTTGAAATGCACTGATTTGAGGAATTTTCCAGCAGAGTTTGTGAGACAGACTGGAGATTTTATAGGTTGTGTGATGGCTGTACATGATCAGGGATCCGTTGATATGTATTGGTACTTCCCTTTTTAAGCATCTGAGTTTATTTTTAATCAGGGATTTGTTTTAAAAACACTTAATTTTAAAAGGAAGTTGTTCCTCCACTACTGACTTTAAGATGTATCTTACCTATGATTGGCCTGAATAAACAGTTTTTAAAGTAATCTGTATTTACTGTGTTGTGTGGCTTTAACAATTAGTAAATTCTTGGCTAGTAGAGCTTTTTTTTTTTTTCTTTCTTCCCTAACTTGTGGTCCTTAGCTGCGACCAACACTCATTCATGTGACATCACTTGAGGACAGTTAACAGACTTCAAACAGCTCCCTCAGTAAAAGGCTCAATACTAAATTTAGCACTCCCCAACAGCTGGAAACGCACTTCGATGTGTAAAATCTGTGGAGCTCTGCTTTAAAAATGTCTGTCACATATTGCACAACTTCTTCCAGAAAATTGTTGCAATTACAAATGCTATGGTACTCTCCCACAGAACTCATGGAAAAAGAGAGTTGACATGAAATATTTGTATTTTAAGCATCCTTTAATTTGACAGGAAAGTCCCATTGAGACACAGTCTTTTACAAAGGAGTCCCGATTTAAACTCACCTGTTGCAAATCAAACAATAAATAAACATGAAATGCCAAAGCATTTGTAATTGCAACAGTTGTCTGGGAGAAGTAGTGCGTCATGTGACAGACATGCAGGGGTGCCCATATTTTTGCTCTTGACTATCACATCTGTTTAAACCGTAAAGTGCGAAAACTGTTTTTGGTTGGGGTTTTACTGGGGGCTGGACAGATGTTTCTCTTTTTTGTGCAACCTCATTGTGACGACAGTTAACAGACTGCTCACAGCCAATAATCCAACACATAACCTCCGTCCCTTAAAAACCTGTTTGTCTACTTAATGTTTGTAGCCATTTTCCTACATTTCTAGTCTTGATGCTAAGCTAACCAGCTGTTGGTTGTAGTGTCATATTGAACCGACAGACATGAGGGTATCAATGTTCTCATCCAGCTTGCTGCAAGAAAAAAAATCTCTTCCAAATAGAAGTGTGCCCCCCCCCCCCCCCCAAAAAAAATCAAAATTGGTGTGCAAGAAAAATTAAGTTTACCAGCGAGGCGATCACAAGATTCCTTCAAACTTTTATTCCCTTAAACACTCTTCAATCACTTAAATGTACAAAAAGTAAACTATACACAGATTTATCCATAAAAGTAGTTATTTTACTAAACATTCTCAATAAAATACAGTCCACATAAAAACATCCCACCTGTTTTAGTATTCGGTAAATAAGTTTGTCTTCACATATATTCTTCCAGACACTTCTGGTTCAGTTTAGTAAAGCATGTACAGATAGTATGCAGACTGAAATCATCAGTTTTTGGCCTGTTGGTTGTCAGCTGACTTCCTGACCTGACTGCCGGTGACACGTAGGAGTGGATAATGTAGATCAAATCTTTCGTCACGGTACTTTTTGCATTTTAATTGATGTACTGTAAACTGTGTAGTACAGATCCTGAAAATTCAATTAGGAAACAAACAAAATAAGCAGATGGGCATGTCTGTTCTTGACTAATCGATACATCATCAAAACAATAAAAATCCTGTAAATCCAACATTGCAATAACCGATAATTACCACTTTCTAAAAAGGCATCCTTTGATGACAAGTTTATTAAGGGTTAATAATTACTAATGCTTTACAGAGTGTTAATAGGAACAACACTTGTGTCTTTTTAGTTCATCAGGTAGACGGTTCCAACAAATCATTTTACCACTGGACTTATTGACCTTGATAATTGCAGAAGACTCACTAACTTTTGCTGACGTCGTGTTAGAAGTAGAAACCTTTCACGCTTTATTAATAACTTATTAGCAAGTCGGCACTTCTCGAATGTGACAATTTGCTGCATCTCCTTGTCTTGTGTTAGATTAAATAAAATGTTTTGAACTGTTGGACAAAGCAAGAGATTTGAAGACTTTTGGTCACGGTTTTCTGACAGTTTAATAGACAATAATTATTTGGTTAAATAGTGGGCAGATTAATCTATAATCAAGTGAGTCGCGACCCTCGCAAACCCTTTTTAAAAAAATAAATAAAAAAAAAGGAGCCTTATTAGAAAGTACTACCAAGCAATATTGCTTATCGATTTGCAACGATTCCCACAGGCGTTACAACTTTGTTGGGGGGGGGGGGCTTGTTTCTGAGGTTTACTGTCATCATTCAAATCAGGAGCATCCACTTAAGCATTTGCCACGACCTTTGTGATTTCAGTTTAGTTAAACAAAGACAAAATATCAGCTCCCGTTAAAATTTACAAGCGTGGCAGAGCGGGAACTTATGACATCGTAACTTGGTTTTCATCCATTTTCTTAAACCTCACCAACGCTGTCTTAAAGTCATTTTTCCAACTTTCTTCTTGTTCTCTGCTGTCATTGCACACCCTCAACTCACCTCTTCTGTTGAGCCCTGACCTTTAAGCAGTGATGGCGTAAGTGTGATGCTGCAGTGGATAAGACACATACCTTTGGTGTGAGAGAATAGGGTTCGACTCCCACTGTGACAGATCCAGCAAGTTGCTCCAGGGGCGTGTGTGCATATACTTATATAGCAACTCTAAATCACTTTAGCTAAAAAAAAAAATATCAGCTTAATTAATGTAATGTTATGGTCTGGGAGCATTTGGGAAATGGTGTTTGTTAAAGCCGGAATAAACCACCCTTCAGTTACCATCCTTATCCAGATTTATGGAATGAACCACCTAATATACTTTTAGTAATATTTTGGCTGTATTTTTAGTTAAGTTATTATAAATTTAAATGGGAATAGGATTTTTTTACTTCTGGAACAGAACCTGAAAATTCCAGTTTCACTTCCCACTCCCTGTTTTTTTTTTTAACCCAGTTACCTGAATTGTCAGTAATAATCCCTCATTGCACAGGAAAATTGTGTGTTTTAAGTAACTGAAACACTGGGTATGTGCGGGTCTGTAAACTGTAATAGATGTTTGCAACAGAAGGTTTATTGTTAACCTTTGTTTTCTCTCTTCAGCTACCCTGCAGGGTTTGCAACGTGTCTTTTGTCCTGTCTGACTGTGTTGTAGCAATATCACTGCAATTCTAGCAATTAATTTAGTGAGTACAATGTATTACCAATAAAAATGATAACAATACAAAAATAAGTTTTGTAAAGAGAGACTAACCTTTAAAAAGGAGTGGTCAACTTGCCGTAAGTGTTATAGAAGAATCTCATCCCATAGTGTATGCTTGGCCAACACTAGTGAGAACTATGTGTTTTTAAACATTGTATAAAGTTGTTACCTCAGACACTTTATTCTAAGATACTCACAGTAGAAAATAAATACTTTTTGGATCCTTGACTCTATACTTGAGGTTATCCAGAGATGATGGAAGTGTCATCCTGGACTGCCGAGACCTCTCCTGTAGGCTGCTTTCTCCAAAAAGCGGCGAGAAAACAAACAGCTGAGTTTCATTAACTTTTTCTCCGACTCCAGTTTGACCTCTACTGTCAGCCCTCTTCCTCCTGACTTGCCTTCTTTTTTTCTGAGCTGGTATTTTCACGGTCCTGCTCCTCGCTTTGGCTCTCCTGTCCGTCGTCAGACTCTCTCCGCGGGGCTGCCGGGTCTCTGACAACCCCTTCCATCTCCACCTCCAGCTCCTCCTGAGTCTCCTCCTCCACCCGGCCCACAGTGTCTGGGATAATCTCCACCTCGATATCAGAGGAGTCCTCGCTCTCCTTGAACCACACCGTCTTCTGGCCCTCCTTCCTCCTCTGCTTGGTGAGGATCGACCTCATGCTGTACTCATCGCCGTCTCCTCTCCCTCTCCTGGACGGTCTCACTGAGGGGCTCCCCTTGGGGACGTGGTTCGTGTAGACACCACAGGAGGAGCAGTGGCGGCTCCTTCTCTCCAGGGGGATGACCCGGCCTCGTGACCCAGGGAAGGTGCTCCGTCTGGGCAGAGCGTTGTTCCAGCGCCTGGCACCACCGCGGCTCGCGTCGCCCTCATTCTGGAAGCCATCATTGGTGTACTGCAGGGAGTCCCTGTGGCCGGACCGAGGCTGGTCGGACTTCAGGCAGGGGCCCAGGCACTACAGGCAGGAGAGAGGCCCCTCATTAATACAGCAGTTAATGAAGCATGGAGGATATCGAGGCATTGTTCAATGTTACAGATGCCACCGTGGTTCCAGAGAGTGAGCTAGGTTCATTTGTTCTGTTTTAACACAGAGCCCTTCTGTGGATTTCAGCTGATAAATATTCATCAAAGCCACACAGGAGGAGTTTTGCACATGCAGCATTAAACAGCTGAGTCTGTTTCTGACGTCTAAACCGTTACAGTACGGAGGTGCTGTTGTAATGCAGTGAGAATAAAGGCTTCAAAACTGTTAGAAAAAACATGAATAGTTTCAAAGGAAAATTTTTATTTTGACGGCCATTTTCAATATTTCTTTAGAAAGTCAGATGAACAATAATATTGAAGGACCTTTGAATTAAAGTTTCTTTCACTTTGCTTTCAGACCTTTTACCGATTTTAAAAAGTAATTTTTCCCTCTATTGAACTAACTACTCTGCAGTAATGTGGAATCATTAAATCTTATTTTTATTCAATCTTTACTTACCTTGGAAGTCTTGAGACACATTCTCCCTTTTATAAGAGATATTATTTTGGAAAATCAGCTTATTTGTTTCTTGCCGAGATTTACATGACAAGTTTCATACTACTCTCGTCATGTATGGGCCTGGTGCCAATTAGCTTAGCTTAGCATAAGCTCTGGAAGCAGGGGGAAAGGTAACCTGGCTCTCTCCTAAGTTAAACATGTTTACCAACACCTTTAATAATTAACATGTTAGATCTCATTTGTTTTGCTGTACACAAACAAATATAAAACAGAACTTTGTGGTTTTAAGATGAGATGCTACACAGAAGTAATGGACGGATGAATAAACTGTTCATCAAGGGACAGTACAGTTACACTTAAACACACAAACAATGTTTTACATTTTTGTAAAATTCAATGTGTTAATAATTTTCACTTTGGATGGAGCAAGGCTAAATTTCCTCCCTCTTTCCAGTCTTTATTCTAAGCTAAGCTTAATGTCTTAACTTCTTAACATAACTGAGTGGTAACTGAACTAATCTTCTCATCCAACTCTTGGCAATAAATGCAATATATCTAAGAATTCTTTTAATATGAGCACACACACAACTCAACCATCACTTACAGCACATAATACAAATAGGAAACCAAACAAACCCTTTCCTGTTTAAAAAAACATTCCTCAAGATGCATTTGTGGTGTTAAAATGCTGAAAACATGAGAAACTCTTCACTGACCTCACATATTTTGTCCATGCCGGCGTTTCCCTTATACAAGCGGGAAATCAAGAAGCCAATCACAATGATGCAGAGGACCAGCAGAGCTGCCATGACCAGACCCAGAAGAGCCATGTCGCCCGGACGGTAGCCGACGTTTGAGGGAGACGGGATGGCCACCGCTGCAGGTGAGGACAGATGAATGACATAACATCATCATTAGGATTTACCCAGGTCCGCTCATTTGAATATATAAATAATTTAATGCATTGTGACATTTAAAGTTTAGTTACATGCATCTAAGCTTTGGTTCTACGTGATATGTCTACAGTAATTTCTGCCTATTGGTGGGTTGTTCCAGATAAGACATTTGAAATATGTTCAGTGGGAACGGTCCAACTTATTGTATGTGAAAATGCTAAGTTAAATTAGTTGTTGTCACAATCCCATGAGGTGACATGATTAGAGATCATTTGAAATTCTGTTACCATTTTGATGTCTAGAATCTTTATAGTACAAGTCAAATAAATTTTATTTATATTGCACATTTCCTACAGTAAGTGTGGACTCAACAACAACCAAAAATAGGCACATGACTAATCCTAAATAGAAGTTTTAGCTAGTAATATAATATGTATATATGTACTGATGAGAAGATAAAAGCAGAAATATAAATATATCGATGAACATAAAAGGAAAATATATTTAAAAATTTTAGATGACAAAATACAATTAAAGAAAAACAATCCATGAAAACAAAAGCAGAAATATAAAAAAATGCACAAAAGGTGGAAGGTTATGGTATTACAATAAAATGGAATAAGATAGCAATTCAGGTGGCGCCTTAAGCTTACCCAACCATAAGCAGTACAGCATGATACCACCCCTATATATATATATATATATCCGTCAATATCCCAGAGAATAGCCGTGATGATCTTACCAGGTATGACCTGAACAGAGAGGGCAGCTGTTCCAAATTCCCCTGTTGTTGCGTCCACTGCTCTGAGCTGTATTCAGAAAAAAAAGTATAACTTAAAATATCAGTAAATGTAAGCAAAGATACAGTATATTTATTGTGCTTAACTTAAAAAAAAAAGTCACCTGAAGCGCGAAGGACTCCGTCTTCACAATTCTCTTCAGGATCACAAAACCGTCTGCAGTCACGTTGACGTAGCTGCTGTACTGAACTTCATACTTTACATCTGGATTTGTACCCTGACACACAAAAATGCAAAAATAAAATTATTGAAGGCCACTTAAAGCTGATTTTAGTGATTTCTGACCACTAGGGGGCAGATAGATACCAACTATCAATGTTATGGCTAATGGGTTAGCAAACTCACATTGAAGGACACAGAGAAACATTATCTTTCATTTGGAGACACAGGTGTGTTAACCTGATGACCATTTTGCCCTTTTAGCTCAGTTTAAAATTATCTGGCTCTTTAGCTTCTAGGTTTAGACACAGACACTGTCCAGAAGTACGCTTTGGTTGTCTGAGGTGGTTTTCTTAAAAAAGCAGCCTACAGATTGAAAGCTGACAACATCATAGATGAGAACCAAAGCAATGAGGTACAAAAGCTAGAGCTGAGTTTGGTGTTATTTTTGGTCTCCACCACTGGGTTTCCTCACTGAAAACAGCTGCCTGATGCGGATGAAAGCTAAAAGCTTGGGGCTGTAAAACCAAAACAATTAACTGAAAGATGCAAAAATGCTCCAAACAGCTATGAAGAACTGCAAAGTTGGCGATAATTAGGCCTAGCTGTGGGTTTCCACTACAATTTATGCCTTTTCACATTACACAAACTATACTGATCCATTGTTAGAGCTGGAGTGCGGGACTTTAACGTGTAAATGAACGATGTCAAGTCCTTGCCAAATGAGTTCACACAATGCTGATCACCGCCAGGCAAATCTCTCTCAACTCGCAGTACACCAGAATTTTAACATCTGATGTCTGTGGCGATGTTTCCTCGCTGGTGAACCGGTTAGCTTACGCCAAAAAGCAATGATTGGTTTGCGAGAGCTGAGCTGAAGGAGGAGTGAACAAGCAGCTCACTATGACAGAGCCTCTACGTCATAAGGAAGAGAAAAGTTCAGCACTGCAGGTTTAATATAGAAATACTGATCAGGGTCGGGAAGAGAGCCTTTTTATGGTGTATGAGGATTGTCATTGTCATTTCACTACAGATTACACTTTTAAAAACTGATCTTCTGAGTGCTTAAATTTAATGTAATTTAAAAATGTGTTTTACTGTACTTGGTCCTGATTGGCTCACTTAAACTCAATCAATCAATCAGCAGTCAAGTGTCCAACCAATCAGGACAGTATTGTGACAAGCTGGTTTTCATATTTATCTAATTCAGCGATTAACTAAAGGATATCTGGAAAGCAACAGGTTCATAACAAGATTAGTTTTGAAATTCAGTGAAAACCCAATATTAGTAGTAATTATTAAAATCAACACACACACAAAGATCACTCACAGCGGCGAAGTCCTCGTCCCGAGCTCGGACCCTGAAGGGCCGGTTGGTGCTTCGGTCTCTGAGGATCATGCTCTCAGGGACAGAGTTGCTATAGATAAATCCTTCGTATCGCTCCTTCTCAAAGCGAGGAGGGTTCCTGCTCTTCTTCATCACCTCGATGGTCACCTGCGTCACAGCGAACTGATCCCTATTGGTCACCTGCGACGCCTGATGTGCCGGCAGAGTGAGACCAAAGTTTTATCCAAGTTTATACCTCTCTTACTTTAAATTAAGGATTCTTTCTTTGTCTTGCAATAACTTAAGCTTAATTTGTTTGTTTTTCCATTGAATATCTATCTAAAATTTTTATTTTACCAGAACAGTAAGGGTTATTGGGCCGACGATGTCAGCAGCTTTAGCCATGGTGATGTTCCCCGTTTCCTCATCAATCTGGAAAATATTTCCCTCATTTCCTGATGATGAAAGAACACACCGTAAGCATAAACGACCATAACCAAACGCCACAATTTCTTCAGCACATCATTCAGAGGGACCAGCTCACATAAGCAATACAACAGTCTTGTCATAACGCTTCCTTCATTAAGGTCATAATGTTCAGTTTATTTATTTTATTTTAGAGTGTTTATTCCACTCATTGAGGAGTCTGTATTGAGCCAACCCTCACTAATATAATTGTGGTTGACAAACTTGTTGACTACCTGACTGATTGGTGACAGGGGACACACACTACACGAGCTGACAAGGACTCTGTCACCCGTAGTTTGGCAGAGACCACGTTTTGTCAAGAAAACACAGTGAAATTTGAAACGGGAAATGTGTGAACCTGCACATGAAAGGCTGTTTATTATTATTATTATAAAGATAACAATTACAAAGAATCTGGGTGAAAGAATGGATTAACACATGCAGGTAGCAGGGATTGTCTGAGCTACAGATAGAGCTGGAGAGGAGTGAAACGAATCTGGCTAAAAATTGTGTAGTGTGAACGAGGCTTAAGGGGACTCCAACCCTTTAACACTAAGGGGACTCCAACCCTAAGGGGACTCCAACCCTTTAACACTAAGGGGACTCCAACCCTAAGGGGACTCCAACCCTAAGGGGACTCCAACCCTTTAACCCTAAGGGGACTCCAACCCTAAGGGGGATTCTAACCCTTTAACAATTAGGTAACGTGATTTATGCAACGTGGGTGCAGTCAGGAAGTGAAACGCCACCTGTAGGGGCACTATTGCAGGATACGCTGGTATGAATGGTATTTGTAGGTTGCTTAAGACGACCTATGTTGTCGTTTAGGTTGGAGGACTTGTTGAGTTGTTAATGTCCAACATCAAATGTCCACAACCAAAGAAGTATAACTATAGAAGAAACAATTATGGTTGAAGTCTGGAAAAAGATCCATTAATGTTGATTATCAGAACTATGTGGATGTGTATTGATCAGATTTGATTGGCAACAGCAGCTTATTTCACCTTATTTCAACTGAACCCAGTCCTCTTCAAACCAGTGAGAAAAATACAAAAGACAGAAATCTGTCATGTGAAAAAAACAAATGTTCTAACTTTGTGTAGGACCCCGTTGCCAACAGCGAGGAGCCGATTGAGAAAATAGGTTTTCAGGGCCTTTAAGATTTGAACTTTTTAAAATGTTTCCTGATTAAAAGCTTAAAGGAAGTAAAAGCCCATAAAAAGGAAGCACTGCCAACTCTTTTTTGTTTTTCATTTTCATGGCAAATCCTTTTTTTATCTAGCACTTCGTAACTGATGGTTTATAAAAGTTTTTGAAGGTGCTGAAAAGATTACTATACTAATAGTACCAGTAAAATCTATAATTCATGTAAATAAATTATGTTCAATTCAAACCTCGGAGTATTCTATAGCTGATCTGCTCGCTCCTGTTCTTGTCCCCGTCCCTGGCGAACACCGGACCAGGCTCTAGCACTAACGGCCCCTCCTGTGGATTAAAACCATCATCAATAATCCTTAATCAACTGGGGGGGATATTGAGGGTTGTAGAGCTGTTTCCTTTAAATTCAAGGAGAAAAAAAGGCTACGTTTGGTGGAGCCTTTGAAAGTACATGGCTAAAAGTACGTGGATAATGATGCACATGAAGATGAATGTTGTATTATTTATAACAAGGAGTTTTGTGATTTACTGTCTTATCTTTAATTGCTGATCCATTAAAGCGTCTTTTAGGCGAATAGGGGGGAAAAAGCAAGCAGTGGAGGTGGAAGTAGTTTTTCCAGCACCAGATAATGTCTGTAGTAATTCCTTTCAAGCTGAATCCACCAACAAGGTAGGGCAAGGTAGTCTGATAAGCTCTCGCTGCAGCACCCTCTTGCCTTAATTGTAAAGTAATGACACAGATGACTTTATCAATATTTTTATCAACTCTGATCTTCTCTTATCTGGACTGTGGTGGCAGGACAAAGTTCAGAGAAATTTTAGTAAGAGAACCAATCCGAAACTATAAAAGTGAGGGGGGACAAATCTGTGAGGTGAAACTTTATAAATTCAGACACTCGCCTCCTTCTCAGTGAGATTTACTTTGCCTCTGTAGCCGGAGCTCACACACAGTTTGGCGATTCCTAAGTTGGTCCTCAAACAAGGCTGAAACCACGGGGGCCGGTTATCGATGTCCTTCACGTGCACCGTGATGGTGGCCACGGATGTGAAGAAGGGCTCGTTGGAAGCCGAACCATTGAACGTGTCCTGCAACATGATGCGACACATTTCACAGGTAAAGGTAAAAGAGAAGCGGCCACATTGATGTTGTTTTTTTGTTGTTTTTTTTACCGATAACTGTACCTGTACATGTAAAATCAGAGAGATCTTCTGTACAACATCGTAGTCCAGGATGCTTTTAACAAGTATCTTTGGAGTGTTGATGTTTTCCAGGCGGAAATATTTATCCTGCTTTAACAGACAGAGAAAAGGAAGATATTATACAAGATTAAATAATATTATAATAATAAAGTATATTTATACAGCATCTTTCAAAACAAAGTTTCAAAAGCGATTTACATGATGAACAAGTCGACACGTTTAAAACCACGACAATAACATTAACTCAGGCAAATAAAGATATAGAAACTGAAATAAAATAGAATCAAGGCTCTGAGAAGGATTTTTTTGGGACATCTGATGGTGAGAGAAGTCGCCTTCCTCACTGGTTTTTAATAGGACATAGGTCTAAATGTCACCTGCATAACACACTGGAATCTGAAGGCAGCGGTTCCTAAAGTGTTTGGCTTAAAAGAAAGTAACATCAGACTTCTGTGGCATCTTGCGACGTGAAGCCAATGTATTAAATCAACACCCAATACCATTTTAAAAAGCTCAGCATGTGTTCTAATCAAATCAAAAGAGAATATGCAGATAACACATTCCTGAAGGAAATGACAGACATATTGGTGCTCTTAGTGCTTCTTTGAGACAATCGGCAACTTCCTAATGTCGGACACTGAAAGTCCATTATTAAAAAAAAAATAAAATCACCTTAATTCCTGTAAAATCTAAAAGAATTTTCTTAAATTAGTAACGGTTATGGATGAATGAAACATTGCTAACTGAACATCAACAAATAATCTGTCTATATCATAATGATAGTTTTGATGCAATTATGAGAAATTAAGCAACTGTTATAACAGGCCTATGTGATGTTATGCAGATAGAAAAAGAGTTTAATGCACAATCAGAATTCCTGACTCTAATTTATTTTACTTCACAACAAACACAAACAATGCCTTTTATCCTGCCTTCTCTCTCATCCTTTCCCTGATTCTGGCTATCGCTCTCTGTGTGAAAATCTCTGTCTCCACTAAAATTAAGTGGATGGGCTTTATTGTTTTTTAAATTCAGAGATATTTTTTTTATTATAATGTATAATTTTTATTTTAAGACACCTACTCCCTTCACACACACACAACCACAAAAAGCCTTCAAACCTCCATCCAGAATAACAATTTCCCATGGCCTTAAACGTATATTGTGCATAAGACCACTAAAACCCTGTAAAAAAAAAAACAACACATTTGTCCCACAACCCACAGTTGTAAAGTACTTCAGTCACTCAAAAAAGTGTAGTGGGGCACTTTTTTGAGTGACTGAAGTACTTTACAACTGTCCCACATTTGGTTAATCATACTGTCCCACTTTTCAAAACCACATCATATCCATACTATATATTTTTCATTATCAAATATATAGTTTAAACATACAAAGTTATATTAATTTTTGATGGACAAACATTTTATTAGCACAATAGGCCAAAAGATTGTTTTATTTAAAAAAATTAATTTATAATCCTTAATATCAAGTTTTACAAAACTCCAATTCAATTCAAATTAGCTTTATTGGCATGAATGTGTAACAATATTGCCAAAGCATCATACAAACTACATAAGAACAATCAACCCCATACACTCTCTGTCACTGACAATTGGGTTGTCTTTACACAAGGTGCCTCCTGTTTGATGATTGCTCCACCCTTATGTGACTGGACATTTGAGAAGTCATGTGATTTTGATCACCATAGCTTTGGCTAACCAATAATTTCACTGGCATTCTCATGGGCCAAGACCCTCCCGTCACAGAGTTTGGTCTCAGACTTCTTCTCAGATTGTTGCAGAGGTAACAGTATCAGGGGCATAACATACAATATAGTAGTAGTAAAGTAGTAGATTTTGTACCCTGTATACTCAGACCCCCTCACATTCAGAGCCGTAGGACTGGGGATGGTTTTTTATTTCTATTTTACAAAAAATAAACTGAATTGTGATATAAAATATTCTAAATTTAAGTGTTCACTCATAAGTTTTTTGGACCTTCTTTAGCAATTTAGGTCAACCTTGAGTTTTCAAATTTTAATCACCGATATGTGTTCCCAAAGTTGAGAATGAACCTCCATGCTCAGACATAATTTTGTGTGACAGAAATATTTGTTTTTTCTCCCTCTTATCAATCACCTTGTGACCCTCAAGCCTTAATGCTTAACAAATCAGACTTTAGTCACTATGGCCTGCTGTCTGAACGCAGCCCAAGACATTCGTAGGGCCCCCTCGTGGAGTCCCACCCTGCAGGTTGGGAACCACCATCTTAAGAGACAGAGCTCTTTTAATTACATCAGGATTCTGAGTGCAAATTAGCTGCTGAGCTTTATCATTTACGAAAATGTCAACATTTATTAATGAGCATTATCCCTAATAGATTAACAAATAAACATAACGTACATATATTTTTGGTATTTCCATCCGAAATCACTCAGATCTCTTTATATTGTTGTCCTCTAAAAGAATATAACCACCGACTGCAGTCCAGTGTCACTACATAGTTACATTTGTTCTTACCGTTGCAGACTCTAGGCGATAGTACAGCGGCTCTGAATCGATGTCTGTTGCTTCTATCAGTCCAACGCTGGAGTTGACCGGAGTGAGCTGCAGGAGACCAAACTCAAGAGTCAACATCAGGTCAAACCTGAAACATGCTGCTCTGCAGCTGTGAGATACCGACGTTACTCACCTCATTCACTTCTAGTACGAAGTGGTTTTGTGCAAAGTTCGGGGGGTTATCGTTCACATTTTCAACCAAAACCTCAACAGACTCGTTCACCTGGAACACAGCGAAGCAGCGACCGGATCAGCTCAGTTTGTAATCAGACACAGATTTTGAAATAGTGGTTTTAATTGTGCAAGAGTCTACATCATGAATTGAGAGAGAGTCTTGAGCTTGTGAATGTGTTTACAATCCATTCTTGGCTTCTTTGTTGACAAACCCAGTGATATTGTGTTTGATGTGACTTGTTGTACTCACAGATCTGGAGCCTGCTCTGCTGCACTGCACCCACACCACCAGAGCTGCACTGGACAATGACTAACAAAACACACAGACATTACATAAAAAGACATTAATCTAATTTAAACAGCAGCACTGATAATAATTAAGTTGCCATAATGTTGTAAATTAACGTTCAAAGACTTTTCTTGTGGGAAGTTACATTTTCCCGGATTTAAAATTAATGATGAAATATATTCATGCTGAAATTTGATTTAGTTCATTTTAAAGTTACACTATGATATATTTAATACAACAATCTTCATGTTGTTACATCCTGGCTATACAGGTCCCACACCACAGGGCGTCAACGTGTCTTCAGTTTATGATGATGTAAGTAGATCTTCGTTTAGTTTGAGTTGCTTAAAGCCCATCAATTTCTCCACTCTGTTTCAGACTATCTTCAGGAAGTTCATCACACCTGGACTGGGCCTAACTGAAAGAATCAGTGAAATCTGTCCAATCAGGTCTGTTAAAATGATTTTAAATTCAAAGCTTCCACTCTGCAGGATTATTTAATTTGAGCGGCTGTCAACCAATGTTTACACAGTTATTCTGTAACAAATCTGAACTACATGTCGTTTATCCTGAGCCACTGTGTGTCCAAAACTGCACCTTGAAAACAAATGATAACCTCCATTTTTCATGCTAGGACATTACACCACTCAGCCATAACATTAAGAACACCTGCTCATAATGTAGGTCTCCCTTTTGCTGCCAAAACAGCCCCGACCCGTCGAGACCTGGACCCCACTGTGTATGCTCTGTACGTTATCAGAACCAGCATCAACTTCTTCAGCAATTTGACCTACAGTAGCTCATCTGTTGGGTCGGACCACACGGGCCAGCTTTTGCTCTCCACATGCATCAGTGAGCCTTGGCTGCCTATGACCATGTCACTGGTTCACCGGTTTGTCCTTCCTTTGACCAAATTTGAAAAGTACTCACCACAGCAGACTGTTTTGGAGATGCTCTGACCCAGTCGTCTAGCCATAACAGTTTGGTCCACGTCAAACTCACTCACCTACCCTTCAGCTACGAGGACACAATGTTCACCTGCTGCCCAATATATCCCAGCAACTGACAGGTGCCATTAATGATATAATCAGTGTTATTCATATCACCTGTTGGTGGTCATAATGTTATGGCTGGTCGGTGTATTTATATTACATGTAATTAAACTGTATTGCAGGAAAAAAATGTATTCTTAACTAAAAGAGTATTGGTATATATTTCAAATCAAATCAATATCACCATTACAATATCAGTTTTAAACTCTCACATATCCAGTTTCAGTTTCACAATAATCACCTCATAGTCCAGTCCTTTCTTCACCATCAGGGCGTTTCCTTTCAGGTAGAACAGATCTTCGGGGTTCACCGAGACCGTAAGTATTACGTCACTGCTGGAGCTGATTTTTACCAGCTGGACGTCAGCCGTGTAGTTTTCTGGGACCGTCACGGGGCCCGGAGGAACCGTGCAAACTGAGAGAGGTGAGAGTAATAGTCAGCATCAGGCCCCTCACAAGATCCTGATCAAATGTGTTGAAGATTTGTGTGAAGAAAAAACAGGAACTAAAGAGATAAAGAACTACAGAACATGCAGGGATGATTATTACCAAGTGTGTTGACTTTGGGAAACTACATTTACTCAAGTACTGTACTTAAGTACAAAGGTACTTTTGAGTATATTATTTTCATGCCTCTTTCTATTTCTACCCCACCAATCTCAGAAGGAAATATTATAAATTTTACTTCACTACATTTAATCTGACACCTTTAGTAACTAGTTACTTTACAAATACGTTTTTTTGCACACAAAACATATGACAATGTCCAACAGCTGAAACGATTAATCAATTAGTCAATTGACAGAAAATAAAGTAATTTTCCCTGTAAAAACTTTTCATGGTTTCAGCTTCTCACGTGTGAAGATTTGCCGTTTTTCCTTTAAATAATTGTAACGTTTGTTAATAATGTTGAGGTTTGGACACAGCAAGCATAGCAAAGATCAGCAGATTAATCCATAATAAAGGTAATCATTCAATAATCAAAAATTAGCTCCAGCTAAACAACTACAAAAGTAAAATCCTGCTTTTACATGAACGCACGAGGAATAATAATCTGACGATAGAATATATAATAGTGTAACAGTCACAGGGGACATTTTACTGCACCGAGTACTTTTACCTTTAATACTTTAAGTACATATTCTTTTACTTAAGAAACATTTTCAATGCAGTGTGTTAATAGTACTCTTACTTAAGTAAAGGACGAATATTTCCTCCACCACTGCCTATTACACACACACACACACACACACACAAATACATGTGTATAACATCTACGTTTATATCCTAAACTCTTCATGCCACAACATTAAAACATTATACCTTAAAACTGAGTATATTAGGCTGTATAAAGTATATAGATGCAGTACTTCCACAGTTGCATAAACCGGATCCCCGCTCTCCCACCCCATTATCATTGTGTGTACACGCAGCAGCCCAGAATACCACGTGAGACTATAAACTAAAATCGTGAATGTTTTAATACTAGACTTGGACACAGGGCCCCTCTACACTTTAGGGCCAAAAATATTCTATAATAATCCTGCCTGACTTGATGATGTACTTTAAAGGAATAGTTCAACATTTTGAGAAATACACTTTCTGAGAGTGAAGAAGATCGTCATGCCTGTGCGGTGAATACAAAGCTACCACAAGCAGCCCGTTAGCTTTGCTTAGCATAAACACAGGAAACAGCTAGTGGTAACAAAGTCCGCCTACTAGCACCTCTAAAGCTCACTAATTAACACGTTATATATTGTTGTTTAAACTGCGCAAACACCTAATCTAAACCTAGTTTATAATGAAATTCTAATGTTATTAATTATTTATTGTGTCATATGTCTGCCTACATGTTGACACAGTGTACTGAGGGCTTTTCTTATGGTGTACTGAAAATACTCATACATTAACGCTTTCAAACAGTTACAGTTTTTTCTGCATTTTCTGTCCTTTTTAGTAGTGGTTCTCAATCTGGAGGTCAGGAACCCCCAATGGGCCCAAGTTACACAGAGTTAATTTTTTTCTGACTTTTGTCTAATTTCTGTTTTTTTTCCCCCTGTGAAATACTGGATTCTTTGACCTCTAAAAATCCTTCAGAAAAAGAAAAATCCCTCTTCACAAGTAGGTTGGGAACCACTGCTTTTAAGGAAGGAAAGAAAACATCAACTGTCTCTCTCACTCTGCAGCTTCATCAACATCCATATCTCCCCGTTGCCCACGCCAGCGACAGAAGACGCCCTCAACAGCAGAAATCAGAGCTCTACTCACTTCTTTGAGCCGGACAAACCGTACAAAAGCAGACGGCAACGATGCATCCGAGGAAAACATTCACAGGTTTGCTCTTCCATTTCAGTTCCATGTCCTGATTTCAGAGGCACCAACAAATGAAGTCCCGAGGAGGATGAGGAGCCCGTGGTACCAGCTGGTACTTGTCCACATAATGCCCCGTCTGTGCTGCCCGGCGAGTGGGAGTCGACTACAGTTGCAATGTTTGTGACTTCATCTTACGGGCACATATTGCATCAAGCGCCTGCCAGCAGAGGACTCGCAGCCTCCTACTAAAATACTTGCATCTGTTTTAGCTGGACGGGTCATTCTGTATTGATGGCCCTGATGCATGCTGGGAGGAATTCAGCAGAGGAATGTTTGCAGCTGGACACTTTTCTCACATGGACAAATACTCTTCAGGTTAGTTGTTGGATTACTCTGTTTGTTGATGTAAAATGTACACATACAGTACATACAATACATATGTAGACACAAATACATGAATATACACATTGGTACAGTTATAGTTACAGTATAGACAAAGACTATTCAAACCTACAGATATCGAATATGTCAAGATAGATTTTTGGCCACATGATGCACACAACAGCTACACCAATCAGCCTTAACATTAGGACCACCTGCCTAATATTGTATAGGTCCCCCTTTTTCAGCCATGTTATGTGCAGCCCTGATCCGTCGAGGCCTGAACTCCACTAGACCTCTGAAGGTGTGCTGTGTCCTGTATGTTGCGAGGTGGGGCCTCCATGGATCGGACTTGTTTGTCCAGCAAATCCCACAGATGCCCAATTGGATTGAGATTTGGCGAATTTGGAGGCCAAGTCAACACCTTTTAACATGTTGTTGTGTCTCTCAAAACATTCCTGAACCTGTTTTGCTTTGCGGCAGGGCGCATTATCCTGCTGAACGAAGCCACTGCCATCAGGGAATACTGTTTCCATGAAAGAGTGAATAACATGGTGTGTAACAATGCTTAGGTAGGTGGTATGTGTCAAAGTAACATCCACATGAATGGCAGGACCCAAAGTTTCCCAGCATCACACAGACTCCGCTGGCACATGTGATGCACATGCACCCGGCCATCCACGTGATCTAAAAGAAAACATAATCCATCAGACCAGGCCACCTTCTTCTGCTCTGTGGTCCAATTCTGATGCTCACATGCCCATTATAGGTGCTTTCGGCAGCGGACAGGGGTCAGCATGGGGCCTTATTTATATTTTTGAGGTCATTTTAACATCTTCAATAGGAACCAATGTGCTTGACAGAAGTCTGAGAAAGTACTGAGAGACGGAGATGTTGATGTTTTTTGTCTTATTTTTTCTGACAATAAGAAGCCTTATCCTTTAACACACTAGTTTCTATATTTGTGTTCAGAGAGGAAACAGCATTTTTCTGGTCAACAAAACAATTATAAACACAAATTAACGGGTCTAAAATGTTTTCCCTCTCCATCCTGTCTGATCCTTCACACAGTAACAATGACAGAAAGTTACACTGGCACAAACTGGGACACATAATGGCTGCACATGTGGACAAAGCACTGCTGTGCACACACCAGGCGGTCATACATTGCACTAAGTACTCACACACTTACATACACACTGCTGTACCCCCCCCATCTTGTCTGTGTGGGAACAACAAGCTCACAGTATCATGAAGCTCATATGTTATGTTTCCATGCAGAGATGCTCCTCACTAACACTGAGCGCACACAGACTCTCTGTGTAGCTTTCACATCTGACCACCGGGAGGAGCCTCAGCTCTGAAGATCAGAAACTCTCAGATCCTCAATTTCAATTTTCAATACAACTTTATTTATCCTGGCAAGACTAACTATATGCAGACCTCAACAATAGCAGTCTCAGTGCTGTGGTGTGATCGTCATCCTGACTTGAAGACATCAAAACAGATGTTTACTGTCAAGAAGTTGTTCAGCTGTTGGCCAACAGCATTTTATTTATATAGGCTTATAAATGTTCATTAGTGATGTGTCTAAATTGTTCTTTTTTAAGAGTAGCTTAATGACTGCAGTTTTCAGGGCCAGTTGTCAAATTGAGTCATGCTATTTGAGTTGATTTTAAGTGGACACAGGGACAACATCTTGTACTTGATGTGAAGGCACTGATTGCTTGTCTAATTATTTGAATTTTGTCAGTGAAAAAGGAGGCAAATTCATTGCAAGCCCTGGTGGGATAGAAGTTCAGAGGCTACTGGCACAGGAGGGTTTGTTAACCTGTAGACAGTAACAAACAAGGCACATGCATTATTATTGTTTTTGGCAAGAATGTCAGAGAAGAAGGGCCGCCATGCGATATCTTGCTTCTAGATGTCATAATGAACCTGGAGATTTGTTTTTCGCCACCTGCGTTCTTTTTCCTGTTCTTCTCCATGGAGATCTTTTCTTACCAAAGGTTGCCTTCACCCCAGTGTGCACAATGGCATAAATAACATTTGTCATTTTAGAATTTTTATTATCTGCATTGACTGAGACCCAAGAGAGGGCGAGTGTGGAGGACAAAGCCTGAATAAACACGTAACTGGTGTTTTTCAGTGAGATACCGTTTAGTTTTCACCTCTCTTTGAACATTTTGTATGCACTCTCAAAGAAAACACAGGAATGAAGAGAGCGAGCAGCATCCATCACCACAACCTTGAAAATGTTCAGGCACTTGGCGATGATTAAGTCCAGAGTGTGCCCCTTATTGTGTGTGGGCTCAGTCACATGCTGAGTCAGTCCCTCTCTCTTGCAATAACTTCACAGTCAAAGTCAATACAGATTGTAGACTGCAGCGAAGTCATTAAAAAAGGTTGCACTATACACTGTAAGTACCGGGACACCCTTGATCCAATGCATTTGGTAGGGGGTTTGTTCTTTCATGTTGTGGTCTTTGTTACAGGAAATCTTAATGCTAATGCAGCTGAAATTTTAAACATTTGCTCTTCCAACAGTTTGGACTTTCCTTGTTTCAATATGACCACGTGCACAAAGCCAGCTCCATAAAGAAATAGTTTTGCCAGTTTGGTGTGAAAGACCTTGACAGAACCCTGACCTCAACCTCATCCAACACCTTTGGGATGAACTAGAACGGAGATTGCGATGGGATGTCATAAAAGTGATGTGTAGGTGTCCCAGTACTTTTGTCCATATAGTGCAGCTCGAGAAGAGGGATTCAACGGAAGAGCCACATATTTAAAAGAAAAAACATTTATATAAGACATCTTCTTGCATTAGAGGGAATCATTAAACAAAATGACAACTCCGCGTCCTTTCTTATGCACCACATGCAGCTGAGAGCCACGTGTTCAGTGCCAACAATCTGCTGAATCTCTCAACTCCTCTTCTGACCGGTGATAGAGCTGATAAACACTAGCTTAGCATAAAGTTTGTAAACAGAGGGATACAGTCAGTCTGACTCCGTCCAAGGGCAACAAAAATCCTCCAGGCAGCACCTCTAAATGAAGAGCAACTTCCTGTGAGTCTCTGATGGTTGCCTGGCAGCTCGTTCTGGCCAACGCAAAACTTCTTGGTAAACATCTAGTTATCATTTTTGTGCACATTTATACAATTGAGCCAGCCTAGTGCATAAACAGCTAACTATTGATCTTTTCATCTAACTCTCAGCAAGAAAGCACATAAGTGTATTTTATCTCTGCACAGACAGACTTTCACATGTCTGCGCCCAGCGGACTGTTGTCTCCTAATCCGTCCACGTCGGCACTGTAACACAAGGAAAACACACCACAGGCGGCCTTATTCAACCACATTCAACCCCTGCAGCTCTGAGAGAAGCTCAAGCTCAGTTAACTGTGAGTGAAACTCGTTTTCTAACTGTACACACTGTTAGCGTGCCAGATGTTATGTGCTAAAGTGCAGTATTAAAACGTTTACATAATTTAGGACAAGAAAGAAAAGGTTGTGACCTTTTTTCTTCCTTACAGGGTTGGTCATTTGTCTATAAACTTACTCTTCTTCTTGTCTGTGTTTAGCGGGTTTGTGACGTAAAACAGGACTTTTAACTTGACCCCATTTGTATCTAGTAATTTGCTCAGTGTTGGTGATTTAACTATAAGTTGGAGTGGGAGGGGTTTAGCAGAGAAGCTAATCTCATTAGAGACCTACTTTAATAGTGTTCTTGCTCCACCTAAAGCAGAGACGGAGACAAAGCTGTTTGTTCGCAGGATTTTTTGTTGGATTTACAGACGGTTAACCATCTCCAACAAAAACAAACCTACCAGCATCACACACACTGCCTCTAAAACAACTTACCTGCCCACACCCAAACTCTCAGACATGAACGACAGAGGCATTACACACCTATAGCAATCACATCCTCATTCATCACTTCACAACACTGCCATCGGGATGGAGATACAGGACCTTAAAATGGAGGAGAGCTCGTTTCAGCAGGAGTTTTTTAGCATTAAACTATACTGTGATATGAATGTATTCACAGAGAGTCTGTGTATTGTCTTTATCAGTTTATTGCTGTGTTTCAATGTTGAACTGGCTGTGAAAACAAATCTCCCTCTGAGACCAAATTATGTAAATCTAAATGCTGCTTTCTTATCCATTATTGAGTGAGTGCACTGCAGTCAGGAAACAGGGCTACAATATAATCATTGTGAACAATTGTGCCCCATCAATGTACCACTAAAGTGCTTATTTTTGCCAGCAGTTAGTTTGCCAGCTAACAGTTATTATAAGTGTCTGACAACATTGTGGAAAGGATCCCTACAGAGATAGACTTTTTTTTTAAAGAGCAAGATCATTTTTGTTTAATCGGAAACAGCCACTATGCTGCTCTCATCAAAGCCACCAGACTCCATTGATAAAACTTTACCTTCACCGAACACAGCAGTTTCAATTGCTGTTATTGTGTGAATTTGGTGTTTTTAAAGGCTTAAAGACAGCAAAGTCACACAATTGCACAAACAAACTAATTGATCGGGACTGCAAGGATCAGAGAGGTGAAATTATTATACTTTAATGTGGTGCAATTGCCCGCAAGGATTATGTTGCAGTAACTGCAGCACGATTGCTCAATACTGGACCAATTTCACAAAATGTTGTCCCAACAAATCACATACACACAAAAACATGCGGAAACGGGGTCCAGGCTGAAAAATACCCTTTAAGTTACTGCTTTAAGCAAAGTAGCTGTATCTGTAAAAAGTAGCTGTAAAAATATTGCAAATAAAG